CGGCGAACCCAGGCCAAACCCAACATGTTGGGGGGCTGTTGGGAGCGCCGGCGGAAGCAACAGCCAATCCTATTCCTCCATGTATCATTTTTTCTGGCCCACTCATTCACTTTTTGCCTGGCGACTGTTCTGAAGCAACAGCTAATTTTGCTTCAAGTTAATTTTGAAATTGCCATTGAGCAGTTATGAAGAGAAAAAACGGCGCCAAACATCATTAAGATTAATTCAATTTTTAAGCCACTTTGCTTCAAGTTCTCAACCTATTACCTTTGTTTGATTTGATTATTTTTTGCAACGGATATTTTTATCAAGTTGGCTTGGCCCCCATATACTCAAATCCTGGCCGCGCCCCTGCTTTCGTGAGGGCTCGCTCTCGTTCTTTGACTTTTTTTCCTTTCGAATTGTATCTAGGCGGTTAGGTTCTTTATTGTTGCCTCATCTGCTTAGCTTATAGAATTACACGGGTTATCACGATATACATTCCAATCAAAATGGTTGGACGATCAATACCATCAAACTTCTCCATTCCGAGCATTAGTCTCTTATTACGGAAAGAAAATATGGTTGTCTGTGACATGTTCTGTCAACGGAATCACGTAAGTACTTTGGCAGAAAAAAAATGAAACCAAATAGGCAACCCCTCAAGCTCGTTCCAGTTCCAGGTACTGATCGAGTCCAAATTGGTCTCACTCCATTGCAGTCCAAGCTAGCCGCACTTGGTGGTGGCAACGATGGGGCTCCAGACGCGATGCCCCCCGTCCACGTCCGACCACTCGATGCCGCCGAACACGTAGTCAGCGGCCACGGCAGCGTCGTGCACCTCGAGCATCACCGTGAAGTCCTTCTCCTCCTCGGCGATCTCACCACCGAAGCTCAGTGTGCTGGGCTGCACCGTGACCCTGACCCCGCCCGGCTCCGTGACACTGGCCGTGTACGTGGGCGCCCCGCCGCCCACGTTCTTCACCCTGCGCTTCACAGTGACGCTGCCGGAGACGGGCAGGCAGGTGGTGGCGATGGACGGGTAGTTGAGATTCTCCGGGCCGTCGACCCCGCCCAGCTGGCTACACTCAAAGGGGTCGGCGTCGGCGCCGAGGAGTAGAGGGATGAGCAAGTCTGAAAGTGGGAGAGGGGGGGAGGTCGGCAACAGGCCCTCGGTGCTGGTGGGCCTCAGTGAGCAGATGAAGTTGGCGTAGTCCCGCGGCGTAGTGTCATACACCAGGCCCGGGTCAAGGGCCCTGACCGGGTTCACGTGGCCCGACCCATAGTTGAACGGCGTGGCGGCCGTGCCCATCTTGTCCCGGATCCCGCTGCCATCATTGGCACCGGTGGTTGCTGCAATAAATATTAATGAAATATATATGACTCATTATTATTTTTAATATATTTCATTAATAATTACTACATACCCTAAAATGAGTTTTGTGAAAAAAATTCATGTGCGTCACATATTTTCAAAGTTTAAGGTATATACTGATTTATTTGTACGTGAAAAAGGTACTCCCTCTGTTCCTAATTCTAGTGCGCGTTTTGCTGAGCTGCAATACCAACGCATGCGCTGGAGCTTGTCCTTTGGACCATTATAGCCCTCCAGAAACTCTGACCGGCCCATGTGCAAAGCGTCTCAGCCACACACTCTCTTGCATGCAAAGGTGTCTGTCCCACGTTCATTTCCAGCCAAGGGGTTACTTTTGTCTAAACCACCAAATGCGCACTACAATTCGGAATATGGGCAAAAAACTTACACGCACTATAAAGTGGAATGAAGGGAGTATATTACAAAAAGTACGTCGCAAACAATATTATTTCAACAAAACTCGTATAGTCGTATTGAGGTATCTTAGAATATCTAATGAAGTATATTGAGAATGATAAAGAGGTATAATCCATGCGTATACGAGGTATATTGAAGATGGGAGTACATACTCCCAAGAGTACAGAAAATTTATCCTATATATGTAAGCGGCTAACAAATTCTGATTTATTTTTTTGTGTCAAAGATGCTTGAGCGCGCAAGGTATGTGCACATTTTCATGGTTTCAGGACATTCGACGAGGTTGTGGCAAAAAAATGGCTCTCAAAGAAAGTTTGATAAACTACATTGTTTAGATCTGATTTTTTGGCATGAGCTCGTCAGATGTCAATTGAGCACCAAATTTTGTACACTCGTACAAAACATGAGCATCTTGGATGTAAAAAAATCAGAAAATTTCAAAAGTTTTTGCTATTTTTTCTTCTGAATTTACTTTTCATCAGGAGCATATGAGCATGGACCACGTTTGGGAATTACCAATATTTCATCCGCTTTAAAATATTTACAATTATAGGTTTGCTTTTAATCAAACTTATTTAAGTTTGATCAACCTTGTAGAAAAATATATACTGTCGTTCCTCAAATGGTTGTGAAATAACTATTCCCGAATAGACATTAAAAGATAATGACCCATCCAATGTGATAACTAGGATTCATAAATGTGCAAAAGAAAGTTGAGAAAGTTAACTCCATGGAAGTAGAGACATATATACGTACCGGTGGTCATGATGGCGGACTTGATCATGGCGGGGCTCCAGTTTGGGTATGTCGCCTTGAGCAGGCCAGCGACGCCCGCTACGTGAGGGCACGCCATGGAGGTGCCGGACTGCACGGTGTAAGGGACACGGCGGTCGTCGAAAGACCGGCCGGTTGGCGAGACACCTTGGCTGTAGGCGGCGATCACGCTCACGCCTGGCGCGGTGATGTCAGGCTGCACAAAAAGCGATCGACCTAGCTTAGCAGCTGGTCAGCCACGCTCAGGCTCAGCAAACAGGTCATGCAAGGAGTATGCAGTTAGGGAAATGTCGAACCTTGAGGATCTCGGGAGTGATCGTGTTGGGCCCGCGTGATGAGAAGTCTGCCATCATCGGCGACGGCGTCACGCCCACCTTCGCCTCCCTAATTTTGATCTGACCCACCGGCGGTGATCTATGTATATACTCAAACCGATGCTGGATTAGATCAGTCGTCCCATCCCATTGCATGAATACATATACACTCTCCCTCCCGTAATATAAAAGTGTTTTTGACACTCAAAACGCTCTTATATTACGGGACGGAGGGAGTAACTTATTAATCCAGACGTATATATACTAGGTGCACGTGTGGCTATCGAATCTTACGTAGTGGACTGGAGATAGTCCAAGATCTCCCTGCACTGGGAGTAGGAGCAATGAGCCGCCGGGATGACATGCGGCTCAGCACTGATGCTGCTGTCGCTGCCGGAGCCTTCACAGAGGACCATGCCGGCGCCGCCGGCCTCCTTCACCACCTGCCCTGTACTGATTGTGCCCCCTCCTCTGGTGCACACAACTATCTTGTTGCTCACCTTGCTGGGGTCCAGGGAGCCCGGCAAGCACATCGCCCTGCAGGCAATATGTGTACATGCATATCTTACAGACAGTTCATGCTAGCTTTAGCTTCTACTTATAAATCATCCATACTGTTACTAGCTAATAAATATCCGTTTGGGCATCAAACAAGATCCTACGTACGAGTTGACTCTACAGAAAAAGGACATTTCTTACGAGTCGGTGGCAGATTGATCTTCAAAATTGGCATTCTCGCCACTGATCATCTCATATTCCTGGTTGCCAAGGGTGCTGTTTGATAGACTTTGTCCCTGCAAATTTAGAGAAAGGTGTGACTGCCCCCATGAAGCTACGCCTACTAATACTAACTTAAGACATGAATGATTTTAGTTGCCTTAGATTTGCAATGAAAATGTCAAACAAAAATAAATAAATAACGAGATAACTCCTCCCCAGCCCTAGGCACCGCGCTCCCTAGTTAGCCAGTGGGTCAACCTCCGTCCACCCTCTGCCGTAGGTGTCTACGAGTCTGGTTGCCTTGCATCTAAGTAGATGCTTGGTCCTCGATGCCTTGCATCTATTTACTAAAATTATGCTTGTGTGTATCTGAGGATGTAGGGATTAATTGGGACATTTTTATCTTCCTATTTCAAGTGCATCTAGGCCCAATGGTGGGTGCTGATCATTCATGACAATAAGGTTAAAGGGGACAAATATTTTCTAAGTAGTGATCGTATATAGTCCTAAAAGGTGCTAAGCATGGATGATGGTTTCTGATTCCGCTAAATCTAACGATCAAGCATCGACAAGATCAGCTAAACTTTTTTTCTAGATTTTAGTGGTCCAAGATCACTT